AAGGCTTAGCCCGCCTTGACCGGTTAATATTGAAGACATTCTCGCCCAGAGTCAATGACTTCAAACGTGCCGGAGTGCGAAGGATGCTGAGCAGGCTTTTGGACCGCAGTTCGCACTCGTCAAAAACAAGCGAGGTCAGAGGAGTTTTCTTCGTATGTGTCGCGAGCTCAGGGATTTCGAAGTCTGGGAAGGCTACACAGGAGACGTGAAGGTGTTTGAGTGCAGGGTGTCGGAAGAGGCAATGGAACCCCTCAAGGTTCCAGAAGTCGGTAGCAGTACCGTGCGAGTGGATGGTCAAGTTCTCGAGAAGACCCAGCCCAACTGTCCGCTCGAGATTCTTCCCCAAGCGCCGTTCAGCCGCGATCTTGGCCGTTTCTATCGGGCCCTCCACGCAAGCTGTGTCGAGCGCACGGCGGAAGCGTTGCATATCGCCGTTGACCCAAGCCTGTCCACCATCGTTCTCCCAATGAAAGTTATCGTACGGGCTCTCAATATGCCACTCCCGGAGGTTTACCATACGAGCTACGCACTCGTTGAAAGTCGTCCTTATCTCGGCGCTGTCTTTTAAACTGTCATCTTTGTATGAATACAAGATTTTGAGTGTTTGTACGGCGCGGACGCGTTCGGGACGCGATGTGAAGGCTTCGATGATGGCGTGGAGGTCCTTTACGGATAGAAGCACGATTCGCTTGTAGAGTCGCTCTTCGGCGAGGTTTTGCATATCGCGACATGTCCGAGCGAGAGCGCATAAGGCCTTGTTGTTGCCTTCGAGATGATCGATCACGACGAGAGCGAGTTCGTTGGGGAGCGCCGACGCCGCCGTGGCCAGAAGGTTGGATGTCATGATGCGCGTGGTACGCGATCGCGGAGGCTCTCGTATACTGAAGAGATGACTTTATAGCGATGATCGATGATTGTACTACTTGAGTTGATTCAATTATTAGAATATTGATGCCTAAGTTGTCCTAGATATCTCAAGTCAATAATCGCGTGGCGGAAGGCGTTGATTTCTGGCCGAGAGCAAACACGTACTGCAGGCGATGGAAGGTAGCCGTGTTTGGCGACTGTGATATGAAGTCGTTAATCGGAGAATTTGTTGTGATGCGTGAGGAACGCGATTTTCCCACGGCGAACTAAATTATCAGATTATGCAGGGACGACGACGAGGGGCCGAGGCGGGGGTTGCAGCGCACGGGCCAATGACGTTGACGCGTCGTCCACTCACTCATCCACGCCTTCACATACACCTTCAACACCACCGGATGGCCATCACCGACCCTGTCGAAGCAATTTCGCGCGTTCTGCTAGAAGGCGAACGTGTGAACATGCCGTAATTTATATAAAAAGCGCGTCTGAGAGGAAGAGCCTGGAGCATCGCATGCCTGCAGCAATGGTGAGTGCATATGTCAAAATTTCACTGCTACGGTATAGTATACAGCTCTGCTCCTTTCTATTTCGTGTACACCATGTTCATTCAGTAGGGCTGGGATTCATGCGGATGCTGGAGCCGGGGCGAGCTGTCATTTCCGTTCACGCAAACCTCCCTTTTTGATCCACACACGCGTCTGCAACGAGTATCGCATATTTTGGATGTAGAGTCGCCGGAAAACTCCAGGCAGTCGCCTAGTTCTACTCTCATCTCAGGTGCTCTGAATTTGCTGTGTAGTTGGTTGCCTGGGCGTCCCGCTGTTTTGTTGGCACGACGACCTGACAGCTTTATTATTTGCCTCCCCACCGTATTGACAGCAACTATTATGTGCGAAAAGCCCAAACTACGTACGCGACCACCCTGACCTGGGTGGGAGTACATCTTCGAACTAATTCCGCATATTTACTCGAGCGCACCTTGGTCTCACCTAGGTGATACTAGGTCACGAGGTCAAGCTTTACGACAATCATGGAGCCTCCACCAAGCCCGCTCTATCTCAACGCGAACGCGAAAGGGAAAAACAAACGAGCAGTCGAAGATGGTTCTCCAACTACTGCCAAGCTTCAGGATTCCTCCACAACCGAGAGTAATGCGCCTACCGTCGTCCGCCGCCGCCAACACCGCCGTCACAATATCGCCGCCGAGATCTGGGGCCCAGACATACCCTCCACGCCCATACCCCAAACTTTCACCGGTGGACCTGCCCCGAAGCAGCTTTTCAGTGTCTACAAGGCCATAATCCGCCACCCGAACCTCTTCTTCCAATTCGCGCTCCGCCTACCTTACCCGTCCATCGTCGACCTCTACGCCATCGACAAGGAATTCCACTACCGCCTGAATCTATACAGCGTTTCCCTAATACACGACTACGCCCGCTATCATGCGCCACTCGCCGGTCACATCTTCAGCTGGGTACTGTACCCTCGTACATGCATTTCCGATCCCATGCTCCGACCCATGGACGGCCGCGAGTGGCTAGCGCGCGACGTACCAGGCTTTCGCTGGGTTGGCATGATAGTCTACCGCCAGAAGGTCGTACGAAGCATCCTTACATACATGGCTCTGGAAGGCCATCGCGTACCGGAGGCCTGCGAGGGCGCGCTGATGAAGTACTGGTGCGTCATGGAGCTCAAGGAATCAAGGACGCGTCGCTCTTTCCTCGAAGATGCCGATATCTGGACCGACGCCGATCTCATCAACATCCAGCTCTTCTTCATGAAGCTCGACATGCGCTTCTCCGATCCCATACTGGGCAACGGCGTCTGTCAGCTGGGTCCCATGTTGCTCGCCCAGAAGAGCTTGACTCCGCTGTGGGAAGCGCTCAGTGGCAAAATGAAGTTCAACTACGATACCACCAGTGCGATGGTCGTTGCGACATACCTCATGGATGATCTGGACTTCGAAGCCCATCCCTGGCTCGAAGACGTAGAAGACCATAGCGTATTGGAAGACCAGTGGGGTCTACTGAGCCTTGAGGGCTGGAATGAAGACGGAAAGAGGATGCCGCATGCTTTGGATCTGGTCATCGCTGAGAGTATTAGGAGGGGGCTGGATGTGCAGCAGTACTATCTGGACTTTGTCATGTATGGGTATGGGGATAGCAAGACTGGTGAGAATGTTCCTGTGCCGGTGCAGTTGAGGGGCGATAAGAAGGTTAGGGTACCGGGTGAGGGTTGGCCTTCCAAGGAGATGAGGCAGAGCACGATCAGGAAGCTGGATGCGCGCTTTGGGTCCAAGAAGGCTGCTGCTGGGGATGCGATGGACTTGAGCGCTTGAAAGCTGCAGGACACGTCGCAGTGATTTAGCCCATGAGCTAGGCACTCTCTAACTAAGAATTTGGGCTCACGAACTTGCTAAATAAACAGTGAGTTCCATTGAGTCTTTGTTTGTGCATGAGTGACTAAGTGCAAGGTCGTGAGATGACGGTTGTATTCGGTGATCTAACCTAATTGATGGACGACCTTCTAAGTTCAGAGTTCCACAGTCTTCGTGAAACTTAGTTCTCTAGTCCAAGCAAGCCCTTCTTTGCTTCAATAATAACCAAATCCTCCGTAAACTTTCTTCTCCTGTATCGCCTGCTTTCCGCGCACTTCCTCCCACTTTGTAGCCATCTGCACAGTCAAGTCCATAACATCCTGTAGCTTCGTCTTGCCACCATAGCTCATCGAGGCCATCTCATTACACATGTCCTTCGCGTTGACCAGAATCTTGTGTTGCTTTTCGTCCACTTTGTTGGTGTCGAGATTGAAGATGGCTTTTTCGGTGGCAGTCTCGATGACAGCAATGTACTTGAGAGTCGGCGGCTCGGCGGGTTTGCTCTCGGTGGCGCGGTCAGCAGTGGGGTTATCCTGACGTTCGGTGGGGGCTGGTGAAGGAGCGCGAGTAGTTGAGGGTGTATCCATAGCGACAGTGGACGCGCCGTCTGAATGTTGTTAGCTTGAGACATGGCAGAAGGGATGATACACATACCAGCAACGCTCAGGCTCTCGAGCTGGTGCGACAGTTCCCCAATGTTGGTAACTTTCTGATGGTCTTGGAACTCACCCTTGAAGTCCGATTTGAACAGTCGCGCAAGGGGGTCGTCCCGCACCCACATCAACTGAGTTAAGAAGGCGCGGTAATTCCGCTTGTTGGTCTCGGGACTGGACAGGAAACAGTGTTGGCTGTTGATACTTTTGTAGTAGTCCCTGGTAGGCTGATTGAGAAGGATGGTTCCTCTGTTGAGGATAGCACCGTTGTCCCTCATTTTCAACTTGCTCACGGAGAATCCGGTTGGCAACTCCAAGTACAGTGCAAGTTCATTGCGTGTGTCATCGAACAACGGAGAGCGCGACAGCCAGTTTGATGCAGACTCGTATACTTGCTTGATAGTCGTGTGGCATCGCGAGTGTTCTTTTACGATCAATGGCCAGGACGCTATATCGTTGATCAAAGCGGAGCCGACATTGTGAGATGTTTCGGTGTCGTCAGTAACTCTAGGGACCTGGATATGTTGAATCGATTGAGCGACACAGTAGAGAATGAAGTTGCAGGCAACCATAGTCTCGATTGGAACGATGATGAAGTCAATCATCTCTGGGGAAGTCGCGTCCATGGTGGCGGGTAAGAGCGAGATCAAAGTTTGAATCTATTATCGGAGGAAATGTGAATGTGCAAAGTCCAGAGCTGAGAAAGTCGCGGTGTTTTTGGGCTCAGACTAGTGCCCCACTGGAGCAAACAAATGACTGTCGCAACCCGCACGGTCTTAGGTGACTTTGCTTGGCAGTGAACACTAATGAGGAAGGCAGCAGCCGGAAGAGATCACGTCTATTAAGCACTCTAGGGAAGCGAATGGTCGGAATGTAAGCATATTAGAATTGGCAGCGCCATCCTATGATATAGTTCACTACAACTACCAGGTACTTAAGTATGGATTGATCCATAGCTACTACGGCAGGTTACGCTACTCCCAGTCCACTGGGCGCTCGAGAGCTGGCGATGCGGTGCGAGTGGTCGACGGAGTTAGCGTGTCGACAACGGACTCAGTGTCTGGAACGGTGTTAAACATGAGCTTGAAGGACCGGAAGAACGTCTACTTACCGGTCAGACTAGCATAGTCGGAAGCGGGTTCGTCCTGGACTTCTGGTTCGTGTTCCAAGTAGGAGCCCTTGAACTCCTCAGTGAACATACGCCTGAGAGGCTTCTCTCTCGCCCAGGCCAATGTCATCATGAAGTTCTCGAAATCTTCCTGCTTGTGGTGATCTGGGAGCCAGAAGCACTCCGGTCGATTGGGGTCATTCTTGTAGGCGTCCATAACCCTGCGCTGCTCCAGAACGATGAGATCCCTCTTCAGAACGGTACCATCTCGATGTATGGCCAATCCGCTGGCGTAAAAGCTTCGCTGAGGTTTCAGGTACTCCTTGAGCCTCTCGCATTCCTCCACGAACGATCCGAAGAAGGAGCCCACAAGGCACTCGATTGCAGTCTTTATAATCCCGGTGATGTTGTTGTAGATGTGCGATTGCTCTTTGACAATGAGCGGCCAGACGGTGTCTTTGGAGTCCACTAGCTCTTTCGCTTTGATGTAATGCGCTAACATCTCGCTAACATCTGAGATCGAGGAAATGCCAATTGAAGATGTGCTGTTGGAGATGATGGTATAGACTTTAGCGAGGATGTAAATGCAGGCGGTAAGAGTCTCGATGGGGAAGAGGGCGAACTTCACCATCTTCTCTGCGGACGCGGCCATGGTGGGGACCGATGGTGTGGAATTGAGTGAGGCCATTGTTGCACGAGCGTGATGGAGTAGAAAGAAAGTATCAGGTTTCTGTAGTTTATATATGGAGACTGACTTACGTGAGTGCCGCTAGAGCAAAGGAACGTTAAACCCCGCACGGTTCTGAACTGATAGTTACCTGGGCAGTGAAGGCTGACAAGGCTGAAACTGTAAACCGCACACCGCTTGAGAGTTTCCATGACACTGTTTCTCAATATAGACAGAAAGAAATAGACGAAGGTGATGACAGATAAATGGGCAAGAGTTTTGAGCATCGTGACATTGACATTACCGTCGATCGAGTTAAGTTCTGCGATCAACTAGAACCAAGCCCTTTGCAAGCTTCACCATCTATATCCCGGTGGATTATACTCGAAGGGATCATCTTCCGGGACATCCAAATGCGGTGCACTGATATACATGCGCTCTCGTGGCGCCTTCTCAAGCCAAGCCAGCATAGTCAAATATTCTCGATGCGCTTTCCCATGTTCTTCAGCGCACAATCCCTCGACCGAAAGTGTGCAGTCCAAGTAAACCTGAGGTACCTGCTGTCGAAGCCCAATCCTCTCTTCCCTCATTTGTAAGAGACCACCATTATCCACGATATAGCGTCTCGGTTTGAAGGTGATCGGGGCTTTAAGGTAAAGCTCCAGATCGCTGCGATGCTAGAGGAAGAGCGGGGATTTGTCTAACCACATGCGCGCCTCCGCCTCTATCTTGTGTATGTTCGTGGCCAGGGGTGCATCTCGATCAACGAACAGAGGCCAAGTGTACTCATTTTGGAGGATCTGTTGAGTTACGGAGTAAGAATCATAAAGCGTACATTCGCTTGGGTTCTTTTCGAAGTGGTCTTTATTCGTGTTGTTCAGAATGGCTTCTCTTGCTGCTCTCAGGATGGAATCACAAGCTACCACGAACTGTATCGGGACGACTGCGAGTATGACATGGTTTGGGGCTTTCGGCGGTACATAGGGCGGGGGATCGTTGAATCGAGCCGCTGAACTCATTGTCGTGTTGATGAATGATGTTTCGTTTCGAAGATGAGAGGTCAGGATCCGAGAGCAGCTCTTATACATAGCTGAGGCGGTAAATCAACAAACGGTTTGCGATGATATGATGGACAGATCACACCTCCATCAGCGCGAAAAGCAAAGAGCAAGCAAGAATAGGCATCTCCCAACCTCCTCCCAACTCCACAGCTTCTCCACAACGCCCATCCGCACACCCCACGCCTACCGCCCCCCAAACCCCCTTACCTCCCCCCTCCCCATCCGTTCCATATCCTCCGTAATCTCCCCCAACACCACCTGCCACGGCACCGCCCTAGGATCATCTCTAGGATACCTCCATATCATCTGCATAGCATACCTCGCCTCCTCAAACCGAGGATGTTGTTGAGCATACTGAGGAAGTTGGGCAAGCCTGTCCGAAACATTCTCACTGTGGTGTGAGCCCTCGAAAGGATTTACGGGAGCACTTCTGCTGCGGGAGTGGCCTGGGCCGTGTCGGCGTGTGGGGTTAGGTGGGTAGGAGGGAGAAGGAGGGGGAGCGTCTCTTCGGGGGTCGGGTGCGAAGGAGACGTGTCGCTGTGGTGGAGAGTGGACTGGTTGGGGAAACGGAGGGATAAGCGCGAAGGGACCGTGTCGATTAGATGGAGGGTATAGCATTCCAGGATGAGTCGGAATGGGGGCGTAGCCTGAGCCATCGATGGGTATCAAACCATCTCGCAGCATGGGTCGATTTGGGGATCGAAAGTCATCAGTGTTGTAGCTTGTCTCTCGATTCCTCCAGTGTTCAGCTTCATACGTCGACCGCACGGAGGCGGGGGAGATGTCGGCAGGGACGGTGACTGTATAGCGATCGCCGGTACTCCTATGACGAACGTGGTAATGTTTTCCCATTGTGTTTTGCTATCTTTTAGTAAGAGCTTTGTCGAGTAGAGTCGAGGGTAGGGGTGGTTGACGTTGCGTGTCTAAACAGTGCTCCAGTTGAGGGAGGGCGTGGTTTAGGTCGAAGAGGCCTCGGTGGGAAGGATTAAATCGAGTGAGGTGTGCCCCGATTGAAAGTGAACCTCTACGCCCAAGGACTGGGGGAGGTAGCTGCTCGGCCATGGAGACTTTGAGATCGGCAGTGCATGGCTAGAGTGAAATGCGCGAAGAGAGGGTGAACGGGAGTGTGCAACGGAATGAAGAGATGATGTGAAAGTAAGGACAACCGAGACGATATCGTGTATATATGCACCTCTAAGTGATAGTAATGATATGAAGATTGGACGTGTACGAAGGAACGCTCTTGCCACAAAACCCTGTGACCTATGCCAGCAATGCTAAAAACGACCATGGATATCCAAGCACCCGAAAACGCCATGTGAAATGCAAGAAAGAGCATTTATACAACCATCTAGACAACAATACATCATCTATGCAACATATAACTCAAGTCTGGTAGCCCAGCCAGAATACTCTTGATAACCTGTTCTTCATCATTTTTCCGTCGTTGCGCAGAGTTCGTAGCTCCAGTAAGCGGCTGGATAGGCGGAGGGGTTACATTCCGCGGAGGAGACCGTGTAAACGTCTTAGCGGAAGATGCAGCACTGCTCGGTCTTGGAGGAGTCTCAAAGACGGAAAACGGATCTGATGGATCGCGCGTGGCTAGCGCAGACGCTTTTGTGGCAGGAGCAGATTCGAAGAAAGAGAAATCTGCGTCTACCCAAGCATCTATGGTGGGTTCGTCTCGTACTATGGGTGCTGGAGGCGGAGTGCTGGGCCTGGCAGGCTCCGGCTCACGTGTATTGGACGTAAACGCAGAAAAGCCGTCATCTTCCGTGCCGTTCGTACCAGTCTCTTCGACCTTCACCTCGTTGATAGCGAGTTCGTTTGTATCAAGCGCATCGCGCGCCGGCAATACATCAGCTTTGACTTCATCTTGTGGAATGACATCTGAAATCGGTTTTGGTGGAACTTCGACTTTGCTCTTCTCCGACGTGGCAGAAACAGAGCGCTTGGCGGGTTTCAAGAGTCCAGGCCCAATAGGTCCTTGTTCAGCGTGGAATGGAACAAAACTTTTCGGACCAAATATCGCTGATGTTGGCGATATGGTACTTCGCAGGCGCACGATATGCATCGCTTCGGCTGAGCGGTCCTGGGTTGGTGGAGTCTTTGGTGGTGATGCTGAATCCGACACGGTGCTGTCGAGCGTCGCGGGTATAGAGCTTGAAAAGGCTGAGGGGAAAGTAGATACTATAGGGCTTGATATCATCTCACCCCAATCATCGTCATCTTCTGCAGGCACATCCGTACGTTGTTCCTGATTGGAAGTGTTGGTGTCGAGAGCAGCAATGTCTCCCCAAGGACTTGAAGAGGTCGTGGTTGGCTCAGGAGGTGGGATTGCTTTCGTTGCGACAACCGGCGTTTCACTCGGCGTTTGCCCATGTGTTTGCCCAACATCGCGTGTCAGGTCAATCGAAACTGCACGAAGCTCATTCGCTTGTGTAATTTCGACAGCATTATGCTTAGGCGCGACAGGCGGGATTATAGGCGGTAAACCGGGACTGTTCTGCTTCCAAGGGTCCACTGTAGTAGTTGGAGAGCTCCAGTTGAATGCAGCCGGGGTATCGGTGGACACTGGAGGCATACTTTGTCGAGCTGGTGCAACTTCAACTGCTCGCGGCGTAGGAATGGTAGTCTTCGTGCGTAGATGGCCTCTGGCTGTCTTTGGCTCCGGAGGCGCAGGCGTGTCCCAGTAAAATGACGCTCTGGCTCCGGGACCTGTGCCAGAGAGACGGTCTTCGCGTGCCCATCTTGCCACAGTCTTGTTGACTTCCGATCTGACTTGAGAGCCTGCCCATGTGACCCGGATGTAGTTGTCATCTGCATTCCCGCTGTTGAACTCCCTCATGGTCTGCTTGCGCGTGAGCCGGTACCAAGCTTTGCGCCCAGACGTGGAATACACGGGATCATCTGGAGCTTCCTCAAGTTCTTTTATATCGCCGCTGGAAGGGAAGAGGTCGCCGAAGAGGTCTGTATCGAGTTGGTAGGTATCGGCGTCTTTTGAGGCAGTAGCGGCACCCGAACTGGCTGCTGGCGATCCAGAGCGAGAAGTGGCTGATTCTTCTAAAGTCTCCTTAGAGTCCGCTTCAGCGCTCTGTGTAGGTTCCGGTGGACCAGAAGGAGCTTCCGTCAATAGGGTATCTTGCGTGAAAGTCCCAAATTCATCGTCTGTGCTGTCGCTGCTCGAGCTTGAAGCATCCACGTCACTGTCCTCTTGACTTGCTGCCGCAGAGGCTTCTTCCGGCTTCGGCTCCTCCACTGCAGTCTGTAGCCTGCTCGCAATCTCTTCTTCGAGTGAAGTCCGTGGTGATTCGACCGGCGCTTCGGTGCGGCTTGTCTCGGATGGGGACGTGGAAGGTCGTGCAGAAGAGTCATCGTCGGGCTGTAATCGATTCGCAGGAGTGACAGCGTCTTGACTGGGAGATCTGTCGGGCTGTATCGTAGTCGACGTGTCGGATGTGTCCGAGGTTACATTGTCCACATCGGAAGTATCTTCTTGTCCACCCCATGCGTCTTCTCGTGTCGGCGATGCATGCTCGTTTTCTTCTTTCAAATCCCATCGCGGCCCATCGTCAATTGCCCTCTCATTCTTCAGTGGACTGGGCTCAGCTAAGCGCGTCTCCGTGAGCGTAGTAACAGCGGCATCATGTCCAGATGACGTAGTCCAGTCACCAAAGCTCTCGTCCTCATTCCCCCACCCAGCATCGTCCAGAAAGCCATTCAGTAGCACGGGCGCAGGCGCAGGAGTAGGCGGCGGTGGTGAGGTCACCTCGTGCTTCGTCGGCGACTTTTGTTCGTCGGCATTGTTGTCTGCCCACGGGTCGCCCCAATGATCCATGGTCGGGCTGCCGCGTCAAGCGTCATAGTGAGTCGCTTCTGCTAGAGAAGCATCACCAAAAGTGCAAGCAATCGAGAATTAGTGGG